AGCACTGACCCTCCGACAGTGCCCACTCCCTCAGCACTGACCCTCCGACAGTGCCCGCTCCCTCAGCACTGACCCTCCGACAGTGCCCCCTCCCTCAGCACTGACCCTCCGACAGTGCCCCTCTGTGTTAATAAATGGAAGTTTTCTGTATGTTCGACTCTCAACCAGTTTTGACAGTTTGGTGCCAATCTGCTGTTAGGAATGTCATTTATAGATGAAAGGATCTTATCACCTGTTTTGGTCAGTGATGTGGGATGATTTTCTCAATGTGATTATGTTGGTAATGAAGGCACAGACTCAGTGTGGGACATACCCTCGTTGCTGTTGTCAATGCAAAAATCAAACAATTCCATTCTGGTATTAATCCATGGAACAAATGACTGAACAGACCGTGGCTCCTTTCTCTGGGAAAGGGACAGTTTACATATAGTTTACATATAGGGCCTTTAAAATGATGAATGGTTTAGAGATTTAGCTTACAAATATTTCTTTTTAGGGTGGGCCCATACAGGTAAGCTGGGGTCATGAACAGATCTGACAGGGAGTTCAGGAGAAGGCTTTGTACCAGAGAGTGGTGGGTGCTGTCTGGTGCAGAATTTACTGTCATCTACAAAAGGGAAGCCAATTTGAAGGTGAGAGAAAATGTACATGACTGTGGGGAAAGAGCATTGAGAGTGGGATAGGATAGATGGCTGTACCAAAGGGTTGGCATGTACTCAATGGACTGACTGGCTTCCTTTTGTATTGTACGATTCTATAAAGGATTGTTTGAGTGAGAACTGGATGAAACACACTGAGGATAGAGGAATGCTGAAGATGGGCTGAAGAGAGGGTAGGAACAGGAGCCTCACCTGGAACAGAAATTGCAGCACAGAGCAGAAGGGCAGAATGGCCTGTTTATTTGCTCAAGGCTCGATGTAACAGAGGTTGAAATGAATGCGAAAATGCTCCCTTAGATTGAGTTTCAGAGAAATTGTTCTACATTAAGCACTCTAACTGTTAATTTTTCAGTGATTTTTCAGATCAAGGCCTATGGCTGTTCATCATGATATCGTCAGCTCATTATCAAGGAATGTAACTCAGCTTTTCAATTTATGCCAGCTCTTCACATTGGCTTCACAGTGTGACACTGAAGATAAGCCCTGTACGACAATACTTACATAGCAATGCCTTTCCAAAATCTGTATTACAAAACTGCAGGATTCAGTATTTCTTTGCAACCTGTTGTCACTAAACCATAAAGACATAATCTCATAATCCAGTCTGTCACTCTCTGAGGAATACCACAACACAAATTGAACCAAACACAAGGTAATTCCAGCTCTGTTTTGGCCATTAAATGAAGGCAAAATACAGACAGATTCAGCAGGTCTGGCAGCATCTGTAGAGACAGTAACAGAGTTAATGCTTCGAGTCCAAAGAAGGGACACTGGACTTGAAGCATTAAGTATTTCTCTCTCCACAGATGCTGCCACACCTGCTGGGTCTCTCTGTATTTGGTATCTGTTGTCTTTTGTCCAAAATTGTTTTGGCCATTCCATAATAAACAGCTGCTTCCTTCCACAGTTTTAAAAATGTGGGAGCAGAAAGTGGCCATTTAGGCTCTCAAGCCTGTTCCATCCCACTGTCTGTACCACCTGCCTTGGCTCCATATCCTTCAACAGCTTCGTTTAACAAAATCTGATCTCAGACTTAAAATGATTGATTGTGCCCCAGGTAATAGTCCCAGGACCTGGGTCTGAACCCACCACACCCGATGGTGGAATTTGATTTTAATAAAAATCTAATGATGACCAAGAAACAACTGTTAATTGCCGGAAAATCCATCTGGTTCCTGAATGTCCTTTAGGAAACATAAGAAATAGGAGCGGGGATAGGCCATCTGGCCCTTCGAACCCACTCTGCCATTCAATAACATCATGGCTGATCTTTTCATGGCCTCAGTTCCACTTACCCATCCTCTCACCGTAATCGTTAATTCCTCTACTCTTCAAAAATCTATCTATCTTTGCTTTAAAAACATTCAATGCGGAAGCCTCAATTACTTCACTGGGAGGGGAATTCCACAGATTCACAACACTTTGGATGAAGAAGTTCCACCTCAACTCAGTCCTAAACCTGTTCCCCCTTATTTTGAGGCGATGCCTCTTGTTCTAGTTTCACCTGCCAGTGGAGACATCCTCCCTGCTTCTATCTTATCTATTCCCTTCATAATTTGATATGTTTCTGTAAGATTCGCCCCTCATTCTTATAAATTCCAATAAATATAATCCCAGTCTATTCAGCCTCTCCTCATAAGTCAACTCTCTCAACTCCAGAATCAACCTGGTGAACCTCCTCTGCACCCCCTCTAGTGCCAGTACATCCTTTCTCCAGAAAGGAGACCAAAGCTGTACACAATACTCCAGGAGTGGCCTCACCAGCACCCTATACAGCTGCAACATAACCTCCCTGTTTTTAAATTCAATCGCTTTAGCAATGAAGGACAAAATTCCATTTGCCTTCTTAATTACTTGTTGTACCTGCAAACCAACCTTCTGTGATTCATGCACAAGGACACCCAGCTCCCTCTGCACAGCAGCAGGCTGCAATTTTTTACCGTTCAAGTAATAGTCCTTTTTACTGTTATTCCTACCAAAGTGGATGACTTCACACTTCCCAGCATAGCCACATCCTTGCCCACTGAATTAACCTATCTACGTCCCCTCTGCAGACTTTCAGTGTCCTCTGAACACTTTGTTCGACCACTCATCTTCTTGTCATCTATAAACTTTGATACACTATACTTTGTCCCCAACTCTAAATCATCCATGTAAATTGTAAACGATTGCAGTTTCAACACTGATCCCTGAGGCACACCACTAGCTGCTGATCACCAAACAGAAAACCACTCATTTATCCCCACACTTTGCTTCCTGTTAGTTAACCAATCATCCCTCCATGCTAATACATTGCTCGTAACACCGTGCACCTTTATCTTCTGCAGCAGGGTTTTGTGTGGCACCTTGTTGAGTGCCTTCTGGAAATCCAGATACACCACATCTACTGGGTCCCCGTTGTCCACTGTGCACATAATGTCCTCAATGAATTCCAGAAAATTAGTTAAATGTGACCTGCCTTTCATGAACACATGCTGTGTCTGCCCAATGGGAAAATTTCTATCCAGATGTCTCGCTATTTCTTCCTTAGTAATAGATTCAAGTATTTTCCCCACTACAGAAGTTAAGCTAACTGCCTATAGTTACCCACCTTTTGTCTACCTCCTTTTTTTTTATCAGTGGTGTTACATTTGCTGTTTTCCAATCTGTTGGAACTGGAAGGAAACTGACAACCTCACCTAGTCTGACCTACCTGTCGCTCCAGACTCTCAGCCATGTCGCTGACTCTTAACTGCCCAATGGGTAATTAAAGATGGACAATAGCCAATCATGCCCATGGCCAGGTTTCATGGCTAGTAAAACACACCATGGTGAGAAGCATTGAGTTTTATTTGAGGGTTCATTCTGTTCCTGTAAAGGCTGGGAATCACAAACAGTTCATAACACAGGAGAATGGCTGGGTTGAGGTGGGGACTGGGGAAATTTGTGATTCCCAAACCAGGCAACTCAGAATGGGAAAATTAAGGGGAGGATTAAATAGACGTGTTTAAATTTGGAAGTGTTTTGGCAGAGTGGGCTGTGACACAAGGGAAGACAATTGCTCAGTCAGCTGTAATGATAGTTGGGAATGATGAAATGATACTTGTAAAGCCTGATAAGGTGGTGGAAGAAGATTCAATAATTATGTTCAAAAAGGAATTGCATAAAATGTTGAACAGGGTAAAAACAAACTGCCAGACCATGGGGAGAGAGCAAAGTGTTAGAAACCTCTCTCAAAGAGGTGGCTCAGATGCGAGGAGCTACCAGATGTCTGTCTGCGCTCTATCATTATGCGATTCTATGAGGTTTTTACACAACTTTGTGGCCTGTTTAAGACAACACAATATGATCACATGTTTTTGATAAGGGTCCACATGGCAGACTAATGGTTAAAGTGACAGCCCATGGGATCCAAGGAAATTTGACAAATTGGATCCAGAATTGGCTGAGTATTAGAAAACAGAGGGTGATGGCTGAGGATTGTTTTTGTGACTGGAAGCCTGTGTCCAGTTGGGTTCCACAGGGACCAGGGTTAGGGTCCTTGCTGTTGTGGTATATATAAATCATTTAGGTTGAATGTAGGAAGGTTGATCTGTAAGTTTGAGGATGATATGAAAATTGGTGGGTGACAAATACTGATGAAGATAGCCTTAGACTACAAGAGGATATAGATGAGCTGGTCAGATGGACTGATCTGTGGCAAATGCAATTCAATCCAAATAAATGTGAGGTGATGCACTTGGGCAGCACAAACAAGGCAAGGGAATACATGATGAACATTAGGACTCTGGGAAGAACTGAGGATCAAAGGGACCTTGGTGTATGTGTCCACCAGTCCCTTGGGTAGAGGGACAGTTAGACAAAGTCGTGAAGAAAGCATATAGAATACTTGCCTTTATTAGCTGCAGGGAAGTGATGCTGGAACTGTGTAAGATGTTGATTAGGCCATAGCTGGAGCATTGCGTGCAGTTCTGGAATCTACATTCTAGGAGGGATGTGATAGCATTGAAGAGGGAGATTTACCAGGATGTTACCTGGGTTGGAGAGTTTCAGTTACAAAGAGAGATTGGACAGACTGGGATTGTTTTCCTTGGAGTGGAGGAGACTGAAAGGGGGACAGGATTGAGATGTATAAAATGGTGAGTGCCATAGACAGGGCAGACAGGAAGAAACTTTTTCCCTCAGAGAAAGGATCAATGGTCAAGGGACATAGATTGAAGGGAAGGGGCAGGAGGTTTAGAGAAGATGTGAGGAAATCCTTTCTCACCCACGGGATGGTGGGAATCTGGAGTTCACTGTCTGTAAGGGTGGGAGAGGCAGAAACCCTCCAAATACTTAAGAAGGATTTAGATGTGCACTTGCAAAATCAAGGCTGTGAACTAAGTGCTGGAGAATGGGATCAGAATAGTGAGGTGGTTGGTTTTGATTAGTGCAGACTCAATGGGCTGAGGAGTCTTTACCTATGATGTAAATCCCTCTGACTCTATAACTCTATAAAAGTGACCAAAACAGTTTTCTGAAATCACAATCTGTTATTCTTTCTGCAAAGGAACTGAGCCAAGATTCAAGTTTGTGAGAAAGATGTGGAGGGATTAAGGCACTGTAAACAGCTGCGTGAGGTTGAGTTAATAGAAATGGTTAATGGTGGCCCATTTAGACTGATACAAATGTCTGCCCAGATATTAACATTGGAAAGTGTAGGGAATGGAGATTGCACTGGGGTGGGTTCAGGTGGGTGGACCTGCTGCACTCGGGCTGAAGGACTTAACTTCTTACCTTTGAAGAATACTATTTTGTGGTCTGCAGTTCTTTCATAGACAGAGTCCACACCTTCCATGTTGCTGGGTAAACCCCGCCAGAATCGCTGGATCTCTGCTGGTTGCAAGGAGACCAAATGTCTGTTACGGGTCAGGCGCCAGAAATACTTCCCTATGAGAGCAAACACAAGTGGTTACTGAAGGAAGCAGATTCCAAAACAGGAGTGTAACATCCCAGTCTACAATGCAACACTTCACACATTATCCTCAATTCCCTCCCTGCCCTCTCAGTAACCTCCTTCATCTCCACAACCCTCCAGGATCTCTACACTCCTCCAGCTCTGGCCTCTTTAGCATCTCTAATTTTAATTGCTCCACCACTGGCAGCTTGAATTCAGGTGTCCAGGGCCTAACCCTGCAATTCTCTCACATCAACCTCTCCGTACCGCTGCCTCCTTAAAAATTCTGCACGGAACCCGCCTTTTAGATTGAGCTGTCTGAATATTGAATTCTGTTGCATAAAAGCTCTTGAGCCTTGGCTCATGGAATCATAGTCATACAGTCAGAGTCACGCAGCACAGAAACAGACCCTTCGGTCCAACCAGTTCATGCCGAACATAATCCCAAACTAAACTAGTCCCACCTGCCTGCTCCTGGCCCATATCCCTCCAAACCTTTCCTATTCATGTACTTATCCAAATGTCTTTTAAATGTTTTAATTGTACCCACATCCACCACTTCCTCAGGATGTTCATTCCATAAGTGAATCACACTCTGCGTAAAAAAATTGCCCGTCATGTCTTTTTAAAATCTTTCTCCTCTCACCTTAAAGATGTGCCCCCTAGTCTTGAAATCCCCCAACTTAGGGAAAAGACAACTATCATTAACTCTATCTATACCCCTCATTATGTTATAAACCTATATAAGGTTGCCTCTCAACCTCCTATGCTCCAGTGAAAAATGTCCCAGCCTATCCAGCCTTTCCTTGTCAAGGGTACAATATGTATGTAAATTATTCTGTGCACAGCCTGCTTCATCACCGAAACTGCACTCATCAGGTCAATTATCAAGATTAGTAATATAAAGGGAAAACAACAGTTAAACTGCATGGGAAGACAGTGCTGATTTGTTAGCAAGTGAACTCGTTCAATTGTTATTGCAATTACAGTATTATTTAATATTTAACTCCTAATAATTACAATCAGAGTCCACCTGCTAACCAATCAGCACTCTCTTCTCATGCAGTATAAATGTTATTTTCCCTTTATATTTTTACTTTTACAAATTGTGTTGATGAATGCAAGATAAAAACCTTTGGCAAAACGTTTCCTTGGTTCATCAATAAATAGGTTTTCTATGACCAAGTGACTACTTGTGAAATTGTTGCTCTTGCTGTGATGTAGATTTCAGAAAGGACTTTGACAAGGTCCTAAATGGGAAAACTGATAGAGAAGGTAAAAGTACGTGGGATCCAGCATAACCTGGCAAGTTAGATCCAAAATTAGTGACAGGAGAGGGTGGTGGTAGAAGGCTGTCTGTGTGACTGGAGCCCAGTGTGTCCTGGCATACCACAGGCATCAATGCTGGGTCCTGCATTATTTTTGATATTCATAAATGATGGAGATGAGAATGAGGAGTGGTGATAAGTAATTTTGCATGACACAAAGATTGGCTGACAGTGAGGAGGAAGGTGTTAGTTTAGAGGAGGATGGGAACACCCGCACCTCCAAGTTCCCCTCCGAGCTACTCACCATTCTGACTTGGCAATATATCGCTGATCGTTCACTGTCATTGGGTCAAAATCCTGGAATTCCCTCCCTAAGGGCATTATGAGTCAACCCACAGCACAGGGACTGCAGCAGGTCAAGAAAGCAGCTCACCCCCACCTTCTCAAGGGGCTACTAGGGACAGGAATAAATGCTGGGCCCAGCCAGCGACGACCACATCCCACAAATGAATAGAAACAAAAATGGATTGGTCAGATAAACAAAGTAGTGACAGATGGAATTTAACCCTGAGAAATGTGAGGTGATGCACTTTGGAAGAAGGAACAAGACAAGGGGAGTACTCAGTAAATGGCAAGACACTAGGAAGTGCAGGGGGACAGAGGGATCTGGGGCATGCTTATCCATAGACCCCTGAAGGTGGCAAGGCAGGTTAATAAGGTACTATAGTCAAAAAGGCACACACTGCCTTTATCAGGCATGGCAGTGATTGTAAGAGCAGGGAGGTTATGTTGGGGCTGGACAGGACTTTAGTTAGGCCCCAGCTGGAGCACTGTGTATAGTTCCGGTCGTTGCACTATAGGGAGGATGTGATTACACTGAAAGGGGATGAGGAGGAGATTCACCAGGATGCAGGCCTGGGACGGAGCATTTCAGCGATGGAGGGAGGCTGGATAAGCTCGGGTTGTTTTCTTTGGAGCAGAGAAGGCTGAGGGGGGACCTGATAGAGGGGTATAAGGTTATGAGGGACATGGACAGGGTGGATAGGAAGCAGCTGCTCCCCTTAGTCGAAGGGTAAGTGACACAAGGGCACATTTTTACAGTTTTTCTACAGACTTGATGGGTCGAAGGGTCTCTTACATACTGCCTGATTCTATAATTCCACGATACTATAAAATGGAGTAGAATTATTGACTTGGCTGCTGCAGTTCTTGTCTATTCCAGCAGATGGGGCAATGCACCAAACTAGATACACTTGAAGAAGGCACATATTGCACGGCTTCATTGATAGCACCACTGGAAATTTTAACGTTTAATATTACTGCCTTCAATTCATTACAACATCTCTCCCTGCTCATAAATAGCTTCCTATTCCAATCATTTGTCAAATCTTTCAATAATAGTTATAATATATTGTTTCATCTTCAGGCTGACATTATTGCCTTTAAATTGCAGAGAAAAGCACCAATATATCACAGGATATGATTTGTAATCAAGTGAACAGCAGTGGTTTGAGAGCTGGCCCTTGGCTGTTGTGTGAAAAATTAAGAGAATATGAGAGCGCACAAAAGAAAACCAGGAGCCAATCTGACCCATCAAATTGTTGCAAATTGACTGCCCAACCATTACAACCATACCCACACTTGAAAAGTACCTCAATGACTGCGAAATATTTTGAGAGACCCACTGGTTGTGAAAGGTGCTGTCTAAATGCGAGTTTTTTTTTTACACACATCTATTGGAGCCCGCTGGAGGATTTTGTTCAATTCATGACAAGTGTAGCTGTTCACCTGACATTTGGAAGCTGTGACCCATATAGATGTGGAGGTGCCAGTGTTGGACTGGGCTGGGCAAAGTTAGAAGTCACGGAACATCAGGCTACAGTCCGACAGCTCTGCTCTGAAAGCTTGTGATTCCAAATAAACCTGTTGGACTATTACCTGGTGCCGTGTGACTTCTGACTTTGTGACCTGCCTTGACAGCACAGAAACACATCCTGCTCCATGTTTGTGTTTCTATTTCACATGCGCCTTCTCCCTGCCCTGCTTTATCTCGCCTCCACACCCCCTCTCCCCAACCCCATTCCCATCTTGGCATCCTTCTATTCGTTAGCAGCTAGGACAGAGCTTGAATATTGCTGCACAAAGTGACCCCCTTTTAAAACAACGTTTCTGAATTAATTTATGTTGTTAAATTTGAACAAAAAATGGGTTGTAACTGTTCCTAGGTGCATTTGCTATGGCAAAACTTGGCCAATCAAAGTCCACTTGCTAACCTATCAGCACCCTGTTTGTCATAGAGTCATACAGCATGGAAACAGGCCCTTCGGTGCAACCAATCTGTGCCGATCATAATCCCAAACTAAACTCGTCCCACCTGCCTGCTCCTGGCCCATATCCCTCCAAACCTTTCCTATTCATGTATCTATCCAAATATCTTTTAAATATTGTAATTGTACCCACATCCACCACTTCCTCAGGAAATTCATTCCACACACAAACTACCCTCTGTGTAAAAAATTTGCCCCCCATGTCTTTTTTAAATCTCTGTCCTCTTACCTTAAAAATGTGCACCCTAGTCTTGAAATTCCCCCATTCTAGGGAAAAGACAATGACCGTCAACTCTATCTATACCCCTCATTATTTTATAAACTTGTATCAGGTCACCTCTCAACCTCCTGCACTCCAGTGAAAAAAGCCTCAGCCTATCCAGCCTTTCCTTATAACTCAAATCTTCCATACCCAGCAACATCCTGGTAAATCTTTTCTGAACCCTGTCCAGCTTGATAATGTCCTTCCTATAACTGGACAACCAGAACTAGACACAGTATTCCAGAAGAGGCCTCACCAATGTTCTGGACAACATCAACATGATGTCCCAATTCCTATACTCAAAGGTCTGAGCAATGAATTGATGATCCCTTTGACATTTGCGTTCTTGTGTCTGTCCTGATGAGAGCAAAGTAGGATATGTTTGTGTAATGTGTTAATCCAACTACCCCTCTAAGGTATCTGGGCGGTTTCCCCCCATGTTTCACTATCACAAAGTGTAGGGTGGGAGAACCCTTGGGGAAAGCCCCCAGTGGGCCAAATGGCCTCTTTCTGTGCTGGACATTTTATATAGAGTCAGAGAACACAACGGGGAAAGCGAGTGAACCATATGTAAAATTAATACGAATAGTCACATGTATATAAAACACAAATGAAGACCAAAAACAAACAGCTACAGTTTTGGGTGTTCCAAGAATTCTGGCCATATGTGAATTCCCTGTTTTTAATGGTGGCCATGACTCTAGCTGCCTGGTCCTAAGGTCTGGAATCTCCTCTGAAACCTCTTCAGTTCTCCACCTCTCTCACCTCCTTTAGAACGGTCGCTAAAACCTAGCTCATTGCCCAAGCTCAGTGTTAAGTTCTGTTTTAATAATTAATGTTAAAGGATGCCATATAAATGCAAGTTGTTGTGGACAAGAGGCATATGAAGCAGGTACAGGAGTGAGAGGCATTGACTGGGATATATTGTCAGTTTGCAAGACCAAGAACAAACGAGAGCCTAGTAAAATAGCGAGCAGAATAATACTATTGGACGTGAGAACATAAGTAGGCCATTCAGCCCATCAGGTCTGCTCCACCACTTAATGAGATAATTGCCGATTTGATCATCGACAATTACACTTTCCTGCCTTTTTCCCACAACCCTTGATTTCTCCTTCCTGATTAAAAATCTGTCTGTCTCAGCCTTGAATATGTCTAATGACCCAGCCTTGACAGCCCTCTGCAGGAAATAATTCCACACATTCACTTCTCTCTGAGAGATGGAATTCCTCCTCATCTCCGTCTTAAACTCCTTCCTTATTCAGAGATGATGCCCTCTGTGCTAGACTCTGCCACAACAGGAAACAACCTTTCCACATCTGCCCTGTCAACTCGTCTAAGAATCTTGTGTGTTTTAATAAGGTCACCTCTCATTCGTCTCCACTCCAGTGAGTACAGGGCCAATCTAGTCAACCTCTCCTCATGAGACGATCCATCCATATCTGGGAACAAGATAATGAACCTCCAACAGAATACGTGGACTGAAATTACAAACTGGGAAAGTTTGCTGCATTCAGTTTCAATGCTGCATTGTAATAAATCATGAGAGACTTGCAGAATGGAAACTCACAGAAGACAGGCAGCTTTCTGATCTGCAGATCCTAATGTCTTTAACACTTTCAAGGGTATTCTGTGGGGATATTTTGAAGCAAAACAGCTCACATTTATACATCATATTGTCACATTGTCAGGAGGACTCAAGGAATCACGTGATCAGTAGTTTCTCTTCTAGTTCTTGTGAGATAGGGCAGCACGGTGGCTCAGTGGTTAGCACTGCTGCCTCACAGTGCCAGGGACCCAGGTCTGATTCCACCCTCGGGCGACTGTCTGTGTGGAATTTGCACATTCTCTCTGTGCCTGCATGGGTTTCCTCCGGGTGCTCCAGCTTCCTCCCACAGTCCAAAGATGTGCAGGTTAGGTGGATTGGCCATGCTAAAATTGTCCTGTAGTGTCCAGGGAAGGGTAGACTAGGTTGGTTAGCCATAGAAATGCAGGCTCATGGGGATAGGACAGAGGGGTGAATCTGGGTGGGATGCTCTTTGGAGGGTTGGTATGGGCCAAATGGCCTGTTTCCACACTGTAAGGATTGTATGATCTTTCCTTAGATAAGGGGATGAAAGTTATTCACAGTATTCCAGCTGTACTAAGCAAAGACGTCCATCGTATATATAGAGAAAGATTAGAAAAATTGAGACTGTTCACCTTACAGTGGTGAAGGTGAAGCCAGGGGAAATACTTAATTAGCCACATGAAGAGAATGTGGAACTCAGTGCCACAGGCAATGGTGAAGGTGAATAATTTATTTTAATGTATTTTAAAGAAAGCTAGATTAACACTTGGAGGGAGAAATAAACAGAAAGCTACAGTGTTGGAGTGAGATGAACAGAGACTGAGAAGATGATAGGTAACAGCAACAGCAGCTCGAAGCAGTTGGGCTGAATGGCCTTGTTCTGAGCAGTATGTTCATGTTCTGTAAGAATATTCAAGCTCTCAAAGGATTTTAATATTCTTCAATGTTCAATGTTCTTTAAGAGTATTCAAGCTCTCAAAGGATTTTAATGTTCTTCAATGTTCAATATTCTTTAAGAGTATTCAAGCTCTCAAAGGATTTCAGTGGGGCAAACAACGAGATACACTTCATGAGCAGGAAGGTCAACAAATAAAGGAAAATAAAACAAAGAACTGAGGATATTGGAAATCAGGCACAAAAACAGAAATTGCTGGAGATACTCAGCAGGTCTGGCAGCATCTGTGGCGAGAAATCAAAGTTAAATGTTTCGGGTCCAGTGACCCTTCTTCAGAACTGATTGTAGTTGGAAAAGATTGGTATATATGCTGAGGATGGGGAAGGAGGGGGTGAGGAGTCTATGATAACAAAAACAAAGTTGCTGGAAAAACTCAGCAGGTCTGGCAGCATCTGTGAAGGGAAAAAACAGAGTTAACGTTTCGGGTCCGGTGACCCTTCCTCAGAACTGGTGGTGGCTGGGAAAACGTCAGTTTATATGCAGAAAATAGGCAGGTGGGTGGGGTAGGGAGTAAACGATAGGATAGAGCCCAAAGAGAGAGAAAGACAGTTGGACAGACAAAGGAGTTGCTAATGATCAGGCTGGGAGGGTGAGTAGTTGTTAATGGGGACTGTTAGTGACTAACAACAGGGGGTGTGTAATGGCAGGCTATGTGATAACAAAAGTCAACGATAAGTGGAGATGGAGCCCAGAGAGAGACAACAACAGTTGGACAGACAAAAGAATTGGTAAAGGTCAGGCTGGGAGAACCAACAGCTGCTAATGGGGAAACCATTAGTGGCTGACAATGATAGCAGGAACTGCAGATGCTGGAGAATCTGAGACAACAAGGTGTAGAGCTGGATGAACACAGCAGGCCAAGCAGCATCAGA